AAAGACAGTGTCATGACAAAGTTTAAGTTTTAACCAGTTTACATTAAGGTTAAATACATGCAGACACCTAACCTCTGACCTCTTGCAGTGGTAACAAAGAGCTGCTTGCCTGTCAGTCACTGTCGTTCCTAAAAATACAGAGAGATTTGCTACAAAAATGGAGAATAAATGATGATTTAATACATTCGCAGCAACACAAAAACGTCTCACCAACACAGCTCGGCTTGTTAGATACCACATAATCTCTATTGTAACTTTCAAGGTGCAAAAGTAGTTTATTTTGCCACCACGTAATTACTGTCATTAAATCTGATTTCACAGTTTGACACTTGCTTCCAGTAAAAACTACAAAGGCCAACTGCTGCGTTCAACCTTTAATGGAAGGGCGTTTAGTGGGCTGGATTGCTATGCACTTACTGTACACACATGATGAAGGCAAAAGATCCTGAAAGTTGTCATTATTATTATATTAGTAACTACTATTATAAAGGATTATATGTGGCTTTAAATATTAGTTTAAAGCACAACACAAGAAACAGTGGGGTTTGTGGGACATGTAGTCTTATTGTAAAGAAACCCGTCCGGGTATCCCAGTTTTTGTAATAACCTTACACATACTCACCTCACCCTTTTTGGACGGATAGGATAGCTTTTTGATATCAAAAAGGCCAAGAGTAAATGCAATCAAGAAGCAAGTGGCATGCAAACACCTTCTCAAGGTTTCCGAACATTCTTTCTTTTTAGAAGTGATGAAAAATCAAGACACAACTGCACACAGATGATCAGAAATCTGGGACTTTGCCTCCATTTCACCAGCTGAGGGGAGGAGGGCTCACCTCTCAGAAAGACCCATTCATTAAACAACTAAATGTTTCCACTGACATCATCATCATCCATTTTGGAAGCACAAAGTGTAAAGTTAGAGGATCTCTGTGGCACGGCCATCTCGTTTGATCAGCGTCACTTACCGGCTCAATCTGAAGCAGCTGTTGGCTCGTTGGCACGCTGTAGCAGGCTACCTTTGCCATACTTCCTCCTTTAACGTGTCGTCAGCATAACAACATCGTTGTACAGGAGCCAAGGAGGCTTAAATTTAAGCACAATGAGCTCATTTCCCTGGCTGAGATGCCTGCTGTATGCACAGAGATCATAAATCATCACCACAACTGGACTGTGTGATATACTGCTCGGGTTTACAGATAATACATATGTTGAGTGAAACTTTACTGCATTATATATTGAACTCACACACTGTGGGAGCACTGAGTACACTGCACATGTAAGTTAAGCGAATGGTGCTTTATGGACTGATTTAAAAAGACTGCAATAACTGATTTTTCAAAAGCTGTTACAAGACTGACACATAATCACCTTATAAAGTTAATATGGCAAAACAGTTGCCATGTCAGTGTCAGATATTCACTCTTTTTAGCTCTGCTTTTGGTCTCCACCAATTCCTGAGGGAAATATCTGTTTTAGCTGCAAAATGCTCCACTATGTTCACTGGCCATCTTATTCTGTCTGTCTGCTGTACAGTGGCTTATTGGCTGAATACAGCAGTGTGCTGCATCTGAAGAGCTGAGTGTGAACCAGGACAGTTAAGTTGTGGGACGTAAAAAACCAAAGGAAGTCTGAAGAGCATTTTTGGTTTGATGAGTGACTCTAACTGACGGCTGAGATATTTCAAGTAAAACAGCATTTTTCCAGCATCAAACTTGAGTGCAAACCCTCATCTTCTTTTTATTTGATTGCTGAATCCTTATCAAGTGACTGTCATCAAAAACATGGTTTTAATAAAGCTCCTTATCATTTTATTTTTAAAAAACACTGATGTGATGAGAGGCTGTAGCACATTACTGTGTGAGACCTTTATTTCTTTCAGACTTAGGAGCTACTTTCAGCACTAAAACGTATTGTAAAATAATTTCAGAGCAAAAACAGGAGTCTTAAAATTAGGACTGACAGGCTCCTCATTTTTGTCTTAGCTCTTAGCTCTTTAGTCATGGGATGTTTTGTGAATATGGCCCCAGGATGCTGCCATCATTCAAACTGGCAGTAAGTGCCATCTTAATAAAATGATTTAATGTTTGTCTTTGTCACATAAAAGCAAGGGTGTAATTTCCACTGAGAAAGAGGAAACACTTTTACACATTTGATTAACTGACTGAAATCTCAGTGTTGTCTTACTGTCCGATCTCGCAATCCAGATACTCAGACAGCATACATAAATGCTCATGCACTCATCTTGTTCACCTTAAAATATTGCCTTACGGCCAGATCAAAAAGCTTCAAGAGTAGCAGGAAGCAGTGTGTAAACTTCTGCCCTGGCTTTCACCCCTCAAGTGACTCCTACCATCTGATTGGAGTTTGTGGAGGCAGCTTGAGTGGAAAATATGCAGTCTTTACTGGACTAAAAAACTGTATTTTAATTTACGGCCGAAGTCAGTGATGGCGTACTTCAAATTACACCCCGGACAGCAACTTTTTGAAACACTCCCCTCTGGTATGAGGCTGCGGCCCATTAGGACCAAAACTGGACCAAAGCAGTTTCTTCCCGACTGCAGCTGGCCTCGTCAACAAGGCCCAGGACCCTCACTGACACTGACCCTCATCCACCCCACTGACACACAAATCAGACTCACAGAGTTACATTAATGCGTTTTTTTTTTTCAATTCTTGGGTAATTATTCCAGCACATTGCACACTGAGGTCTTTTAATCAACATTTTGCACATTCTGTCCTCCTTGTTAAATACCCTGTTCAACTCTTCTCATTTTAGAGCAGAAATATTTGACTTTTTATTTTTAGTTTAAATATCTATTTTATATTTATGAGTCTTAACTTTTCAGCACTTGTTTCTTTTCCTTTTCTCTTACTATATTTATTGTGGTCCTGATGCACCAAAACAACAAAGCAAATCCCTTGTATGTGAAAACCTACTTGGCAAATAACCTGATTAAAATTTCTTATTCCGATTATAAAAACATGCTCAAAAAGACCTCAAGAAATGATCAGCAATCACAGAAAGCCAAACCAAAAAAAGCAAATACATTATTATTATTATTATTATTATTATTATTATTATTACAGTATTTGTCATTTTATATCAGGTCTCTATCAATGACATTAAACAAGTTATTGAATTAATAAAACACTAAAATGTACATCAATGTAGCATTCCTAATTATTTTTGCTAGAGTGTATTCATTTGGAAGAACACCGTATTTAGTTTAAATACTGAGCATTCAGAAACCAAAACAAACCTCTTCTTCGGTGTTTATTGTGTCTGTCCATATTGGTGAAACAGCGCCCCTCTGATTGGTAATGGACTGTAGTGGTGGGACGTGGTATTGCACTCCTATAGTGGAGGAAACCATGTTGCGTCTACCTGAAGAGGAGGACAGGTGAGACTGATATCCTTTGATTAAAGAATAGTTTGAGACAAATAGATACGGTCACTTCAGTGTCTTATCGAAACGGTAAACTTTGGAAAATAACTGTGAAGTTAAATGAGGCGCATTTTGCTACAAACTGCACCAAGTTAGTGAAAACATTCAAGTAAAATAGCCAGTCTTCTGTGTTGCTAATAACCGTTATGGCAGTAGGTACCGTTAGCTTGTTAAGCTACAGCGGAGGCCGGATGGAATATAACTCTCATCGCAGCAAACAAGTGAAGACTGGGACATGTGGACCATTTCACCTCTATGACGGAAAACAGAAAAGCCTCTTCAAATACCGTAAGTCAAATAGTGTATCTCTCTGTCCCTGGTTAGCTCTGCCCCTGAACTTATGTTTAAATGGATGTGTTTTGTATTCACTTGCTCTTTATTCTAGTTGTTGGTGTAATGGAGACGCTTAAATTCTCTGTCTTGACTTTATGGAGATTAAACTGCTTAAATATACTGTGGTTGGATGTCATGGAAGTTGAATTGCTTGAATTAACTGTGTCTTGGTGTCATGGAAGTTATATAACTTAAATTACATGCTCTGCGCTTTGATATTATGGATCATGAATTGTTTAAATGTATTGACAGGGTAGACTTCATGTTGTCTTATGTGTTTTAATGTCATGGGGGTTATATTGCTTAAATGCATTGTTTTGACGTTATATAGATCATGTGTCTTCAATCAATTTAAAGGTTAAATTGCTTGAATTACACGGATTGCATTTGGATGCTATGGGGTTTAATCGTTTCAGTTTACTGTGTCTGCAAGTTATGAAGCTTATATTGCCTTAATGCATTTATGTCGGTTGAGATTATATGTCTTGATTTTATGCGGTTATGACACTGCGCAGGGTTTTGTTTTCCTGCCCACTGAAGCTGAGGGATGGACAAATCTTAAAGCTTCAGTCAGATATAACTGGTGCCACAATGGTGGCTATCAGCTTGCTTTTTTAACCCATTCTTCAGGCACTCATGAAGTGCGCTGTAGTAATGCGCAGGTTGGGGTTTTTTCCAACCCGCGGGTCCTGCATTTATGAAATAATTTGACCTGCTCCATCCCGCCCGCACAACCGCATCTATTTTCACAACCCGCCCCACCCCGCCCCCGCCGCTATTAACGTACCCGTCTTGTGGCTCTCATGCTGGTATAGCTTATCACAGGAATTGCACTTCACATAGCCAATGCTGCTGTCGTCTGCTGCACTAACTACCTCACAGAAGTTGTCCCTAACATGAGATTTAGCAGCTTGGCCTTCTTTTCTTTTAAGTCTGTACTCTCCCGACCATAATTGTAATCCTAGGTATTCTTCTTCTTTCTTCTTCCGAGGAAATCATGCTTCCCATGGGTGAAAACTCACCAAACTTTGCACAAAGGTCCAGTCTCATGCCAGATATCCTCAGCTGTAAACTCAAGCCAGTAGTCCTGATGGTGGCGCTACAGCAAGCGTCTAAAGTTCAAAACTTTGAATATTCATAACAAATCAACTTCACAACTTTCATCAAACTGTAGCCCTAATACCGAAGAAACTTTTGTACATTTAAACCTATTAAAATTATGAAGTTCATCACTCTGTTTTTTTCAAAAACTGTAAAACTTATTAAACCTATCTCCTCCCACAATTTTTGCTCAATTGACACCAAACTTGTTACAGAGCATCTTCAGACTGTCCTACAAAAACTACATTTCTCAGATTTGATTAATCAAAAATTGAGCCTACAGTGCATCAAAATGTTTGACTGTAAACGGTACTGTATATGCTGTAATACTGTAATTGTACATATACATGCAAATTCTTGCTGAATAAATCTTCAATGTTCATGAAAAAAATGACAAAATTCTAGAGTCATGGTAGATGATGTGTGGCAAATTTCAGAATTTTATCTCAAACTGAATTTTTTGACAGCATTTTGAATTTTTCTCTAATGTGAACAGTTGGAGTCAATGTAAAAATGGCAATTTTAAACATCAGTTTTTCACTTATGAAGCAAATCAATCATCATTTCCATGCTGTCTAGATGCAATGTGTGCATTTTTAGATTTTTGTTTCGATAACTGAATTTTTTACAGTGGTTTGAAATCTGCTTTTCCATGCATGGATGGCTGCTAAACCTGCACATCTGGCTTAGTCAATTTGTGAAGCTACAATGAATTGTCACTGACTAATTTGCTCAGTGAGATAGAAATTGATTCTTAGTCTCAGAGGTTGTGAGTTCAAGCCTCAGCTGATGCAAAAGGCAGATTGTGTTGCTAAATTCCTAAATGTCTTCCAATTCTTCTGCTTGTTGCTCAGAATTGCCTAAAAATGCCCGGACCCGACCCATCGCTGCACAGCAGCTATAATCTTTCCCTCACTTCTTCTTCCATCTTCACTGCTCCATTGATTCTGGTTTATTGTGGCTGCTGCTTGGTGCTTTTGTGACGTCAGGTCGCAGGTTACATTACATAACATGCATTTACCTAACCTACAACAGTGTTGTTAACAAGTAGGCTATATCCGACATATTTAATCTTTAATGACCGGCCCCACCCGCCCCGCCAATAAAGTGAACATTTCTTGACCCGACCCAACCCGACCCGCGGGTAACCTGCGAGACCCGCAGGTAACGGGGCGGCCCGTGCATCACTAGTGCGCTGGTCTTTGAGGCCAATTTTTGTAGTGGCCAGACAGTAGTACTGCAATTTCCGTTGTCCGTAATGTGATGCCCTGTGGCCCAAAAAGAGTTTCTCCTGACTTAATGCGTTCATGCAAAAAAAAACCAGAAAGAAACCTCAGCAAGAACAACAAAGGAGGGATCCCTCCTCCGGAACACAGATGTACTGTAGGTTCCTGGGTAAAAAAAATAAACAAACAAAAAAACATGATGTGATGAAGAATCTTCTTCTTCTGATAATTTCTTAATAACTAGGAGATAACAAAAGAATAAAGTGATTTCAAAGACTTGAAAAATAAGGGACATGAATCAAAACAACAAGAAACGAGATATATCCCCAGTCATGCACACCCAGTTTTAATAAACTCAATACTGTTTTTCAACACATATTGTTTTGTCTTCATTCAATGTAATTAGCACATATTGTTATTGCGCCATTGGTTTTGGCCTTGGTGCCCCAATAAATTTGTATTTATCAAAGGCCAAAGTGGCTTAGCCCTAAAAATTTCTTAATTCCAGGCCTGTAATCATGTATTTCCTCTCCTGTTTCTGTCCTTGGAGGGGCCAGTTGCAGTGTGCTGCTTTTTTATGTGCTGCTGCCTCCATTGGCTGAGCGTCTCTGCTGACGTAAGATATAAGTCATGAGCGAAAATATGCACCTCTTAGGCAGGGCAAATAAGAATTTAGATGGGGCAAGTAGATTTGAAAAATACTTGGCCTTCAGGGCAAGTAGGAAAAAACCTTAACATCGGACCCTGCAACCTAATATTTGTTCATTCACTATGTTTTTTTTTGTTTTTTTTCCCAACTAATTTGACTATTCATGTTCAGAATATGACACAAGATCTTTATGGTCTTGTTTTGAGAATGATCGGCAGGATAACAATATGATTTGATAATTGATTTTGTATACATTTTGGTTGCTTTCTGATGATTTTTTTTAATGGTTGGGTACATTGCTATACACAATATATAGCTGCATACATGTAGAGTTTTTTAAATACAAACATTTCATACAATAACTTTGTTTTACTGTAAAAAGCAATGCGACTTCATTACATTCACACACAGCTTTTTAGGAAGAGTTACACATCTTTTATGGGTCTACAGTTCATGATGTGGACTGAAAAAATGCCCTCTACATTGAAATAGTCAACTGACCAGCACCCATGTGCTTCACAGATCCTAACTTTTTAAGGTTGAATTGTGGAGAGTGCTACCTCTGCGAGTGACCTGGAGCAAGTAATGGGTGTGAATCTGTGCTAATGAATCTATCTGCCCATGATTGTCTGCACTGTGGGGGATAGTAGTTGACAATGATCACTGGGCCTTTCAACACTGGGCTTCAGGGTTACTAACTTCTCATAGCCAAGATGCTATATCCAATTCAGACTGATACACAAGTCATGAGAAATTAAAACTAATGTTTTAAGACAGAAAGGCATGCAAAACAATGTCACCTAAGCCATGTAGGCTTTGGTGACATGTTTGTCCAAATATTAACCTGAAAACCTAGGTCACACTCTTTAATGAAATTAAACTCTAATGGTAGAAATACAGTTGCTTCTGAAATGATGTTTTTTGATAACAGTGTATGAGGAAATGCTTTTGTCAACTGTCAATATAAGAATTTATATTAGAATTTAATTTATATAAGAACTATTTCACTTTAGTCTCTTTAACACTTCCACTACTTGTAAACCTCTCAGTGAATTGGAAAATGTTTATGGTCTCCATCCACCTTTCACATAAATGAGTGGTGATTACTGCAAGTTTTACCTGCAATGGATATGATTTTTTTTGTCACAGATGATCTTCCACTGTCTGCAAGTAGAAATGCTGCCTAGAAACAACAATGTAATATTGTATGTGAAATTAAGATTCACCAGATTTTCAGAGATATGAAGGATAAGTCAAATAGAGGATAGATTAACCCCTAAAAGCCTACCATTAAACTACTGCAACATAATTGTCTACATATGTACACACATAGATACAGTAGGGGCAAATACTGTGTGTGTCAATAGGCCCGTTTACACTGAAGAAGTTCTTGGTACTATCTGGGGGGCAGGAACTACTACAGGAACGTCCTCTTGCTTGGCCCTCTCAACTGCCGTGTCTCCACTGAGAGAGCGGAGTAGGAGGAAGGTTCCTGTAAAGTTACCGGGCTCTGTGTGTGACGTAATCGTTGCGCGACTATTTTGACCGGGGCGATGTAGCAGCGTAGGGATGCTGTTAGCTGTTAGCCGATAGCGGTGTCTGTAATAACTCACTAAACTCACAAAGTGGCCTGTGAAAAAAATATTTTTTCCAGCGGATGTCTTAGTTACAACATGATTGAGCTAACTGGAGTAGTTTCATGTTGTATCCGACAACAGATGATGTCCTGATGTTAACTTTGCTGCTTTAGCTGTTAGCTGTCCCTGTCTGCTGCAGCCACTGATGCTTTCTAGACTTCGTGATTTCCCAAAATTGAATAAATACCACACATAGCAACACAAAACTGCTTTGCTAGCTCAATCATGTTGTAACTAAGATATCTGCCGGAAAAAATATGTTTTTCATGGACTGGTTATTGAGTTTGTTTACATGGCGGTGGAAGCTATGAACGAGCTAACCCTCGTCTGCTGAGTTTTAAA